GTTGTTACAAAATATCAAAAGAAAGAACAATCCAGGGAGAAAAACGTGCTACTCACATGCAAAGAGATATGTAGCCAGAATACAATTCACCCTTTAGGAAATCGCTATGAGTTTGGCAGGGCAATGTGTTAAACGTTAATATGACATTTAAAATATTGGATATTCATTATAATAAGCCAAGTATAAAAACATATTTAACTATTTTTTCAGATTCTATGGATTTTTTTCCAAACCACAACTAAACCAACCTACCTCTTGGCTCTCCTGTGTAAGTACCCTGAAACACCGAACCATGAGTGACTCCAATAGAACTCTGCACTCTGAATTCATCATTGTGGGATTGCCTGGCCTGCAGGAACACTACATTGCACTCTTCATCTTCTTCCTCATCCTCTTCCTGGCCATCATCATGGGTAATCTGCTCATCTTGGTGTTAGTTGCCCTGGACCACAGGCTCCAAACCCCCATGTACTTCTTCCTGGGGAATTTAAGTCTCTTAGATATTCTACTAACTAGTACTGTCATACCAAAACTGCTAGCAGTTCTTTTGCATCACAACAACACCATCTCTTTCTCGGGTTGTTTTATACAGATGCATTTTTTCATAGCATTTGCTGCTATTGAAGGATTCCTTGTAGCAGCCATGTCTTATGACCGATATGCTGCAATCGTAAAGCCTTTGCATTACAACACCTTAATCAACACCAAGGTCTGTTTAAAAATGGCCTCCACCGTCTGGGTGCTGGGCTTCTTTGCGCCTCTTTTATCAGTGGTACCGGCAAGCACTTTGCCCTTCTGTGGATCAAATCTTATCCTACATATTGTCTGTGATTACCGTACAGTAATGTCATTAGCTTGTGGTGATGTTACAGTTCACGTAAATTTTACTCTACTAATGGCTATGATGTCAATCTATATCCCCTTTCTCTATGTCTTGTGGACATACTGCAGAATTATAGCATCAGTAATGAAACTGAAAACTGTGGAAAGCCGTAAGAAGGCCTTCTCAATGTGCTCCTCACATGTGGCTGTTGTCTTCCTCTACTATGTGTCCAGTGCTGTAGTGTACATTGGGTTGAGAGTGGAAAGCATCCCTCCTGATGGACGCATCTTTGTAGGTGCAGTGTACTATTTCCTCACCCCTTTGCTCAACCCCATTATTTACTGGCTAAGGAATGAAAAAATCAAGGCAGCAGCTCAAAGATACTTTAGTCTTCAGTCTCCCCATAGTGTAAAATCACTGTCAACATAAGACAGTAAGATAAAGTATCAGGAATGTAAATGCTCAATAACCAAAATAAATCAAGATTACCTGTTAAAAATAATTTACAAATCTATGAAGAACAGCATTTTATTAACATCTAAATTTAAAGTTGCAATACACATGACCTTGAATAAGTGTCATTGTATTGAAAAAGATCCTTAATATGAATTTCAGAATGCAGATTAAAATGTTTGCTGTTAGCAGGTTACTTATGGCGCTATTTTTATCTACAGTATATCTATATCTATATTTCCATTTCCAAGTCACCTTTTTATGAATTGTTTATAAGGTTTTAGCAATAGGATGGTTTGGAAATAATGTGATTTATCTTAAGACACCAATGTGGATCTAATATGTATTAAAAAAACAAATGAAAAATCTATCATATTAAAAATACATTTTAAGAAGCAGATAGCTCCATATTATTCATACAATTGTACAGAGGTTCATGTTTGGTGTTATGTACACATATGAACTGATTCTGTTATGATTTTAGCACTCTATTATTATTATTGTTATTATTATTATTATTATTATTATTATTAATAATAATAATAATAATGATATCATGTTGGTACTATTTTAGATTATGCTAATAGTAAAGAATACTAAAATGGTATTAATTGAATTGGTTCAACAAAGATAGAATTGAAGAGAAGCACGTTAACAGCATTTCAATGCATCTAAATTAGATTTTAAAAAACTGTAATTAGACATTTTGTTTTCTAATCTATAGATATATTTTACTACCTTATAAAGATATACAGCAATCAATGTATTATCTAAACAAAAAAGAGAATTATTAATTCTGACAACAAACTCTTTTGGTTCTCATTCCTGTCTATATAACAAAATAGAAAGATTGCATATAGGAGGGGCAAAAACCTTAAAGTATCAAATTCAGAATGCAATTCACCCTTCAGGAAATCATTTAAAGGAATCTTTTTCATGCAAAAGACTATAATGTACCAATCATCAAAAAATATATATTCAAAACAGGAATCTACAAATAATACTGTACAGGCACATCTAAAGGAGTAGTTTATCACACTTCCTGTATAAAAATCAGTCAACTATGCTTTAAAAAACTCAAAAAGATTTTTAATACAGATATGTTGCATTTAGATTAATACTGCATTACTTGCAATTGTCTGTTATTTTAATATTAACCATTTCAGTGCTTCAGACGTCATTTAAAAAGTGAGTGTGAAGTTATTGTTTTTTCTAAACTGCAGAAAAACATCCCAAATTAAATACTTTTTCAGATCTTTTCTTCAGTCTTCTTTCTTTTTGTTGGTTTGTTTATTTCCATTAAATTTAGAATAAATCTCTGCAAACCATATCTAGTGATACAGTTGAATTATGATTGTGATCACTGTCACAGAAACAGAAAATCTACTGTAGATGTATGCTTTTGAATCAAGAATATGTAACACAAATGTTGGACATTCTCTTCAGTTGAAGTTTATATAAGAAATTAATTTATGCGGGGGCTTTGAATTGACCCAAGTAAGAGAGGTATTTGTTTGGAAAGAAGATATACTATATACCCTATACTCTAGACAGTGCTGGTTTGTGCTTTGAACCTGAAATATGTTATCTGTGGCCATATTTCCTCAGCTGCTGGTGTCAACTTAGACAAGTAAGGCTAGATCTTAGAACACTGTGTTTCGTGCTTCAAACCTAGTGCCTGTTATTTGAAAAATAAAGTTGGAACAGTAATAAGACTATAAGCACTTTACTGTAAATGTGTTCAAGGAAATGTTATTTTAGCTTCACACTTCATACTGTCTCCACTTTGCTAATTCTGTTTTTATAGCTATGGCATAATGTAAAACAATTAGAGGCAGTTACAGTACATATGAGTTTGAAATACTTGACATTTAATACTGTCTTTTGGGGTTGATCTTTAATGAATAGTCATTACCTGTAATTAGATGTGTTTCTAATGCAGTTTTGAACTGTAATTAATTATCCAAGCAACTTTTAACTGCAATTAATGAGTTTCAACTGTGAGTTTCTGTAATACAATGCAATGCAATAAATATATATTTCTAAGATGTTTCCTTTTTATAAATTTCTGAATATAAATGAATCCTCTTCTGACAGTCATTACAATTGCCTGCTTTATTCCCTTTATATTTAAACTCTCACATCCAATTGATATGCAATTACTGACATACAGTACTAGCAGTTCCTCAGACATTACATAACTCCAGATGCTGAATGCTAAATGACTTACTGATACTTCCCCTTGTTTCCATAAATGTTTATTTTACACACATACTGTATATAAACACACCATTTCTGACATAAAAATTAATTAAATCATTATCAGTGCCATGATACAGATCAGCAACTTTCAGGGTGATGTGCATGCTGGAACTTAAAATCAGAACTGAGTAATTAAGTACTGTAGGAAATCTTTGCCATTCTCCAGGGTTTAATAGGGAAGACCTCATCACACATGAGGTGTCAAGGGAAGAATTAGCTGTATTACAGGTCACAAAATGCTGTGTATGAGTACTTTCTTATTACAACTATTGTCAAGAAGCAACCATCCATCCATCCATTTCAGGACTGAGGGGGAGCTAGAATCTATGGCTGCATGGCAGGATACACAGTGGAGCAGGCACCAGTCCATCGCAGGATACACAGTGCAATAGGCAGCCAGTGGAGTTTAATAAAATAATTACAGGTATATGTGTGCCATGCCTGTCTGATCCTTGTTTGTCTGAGCCCACAAACAAGCGGTGCTGATGGCTGTCAGATTCAAAGGCTTTGTGATCCCTCCTGACAGCTAACTGGAAAGAACATACTGACTTAGTTACTGACTCACTATCTGTTCCATAAGTTTTAATATATTATTGATACTTGCTTTTTTCCCTTTATATTTTATTACTTTACTTTAATTTGAATGCAAACACTGGCCATAGGTAACATGATCTTTTGGGATCATCTGGTCGTTTATAGTGGGTTAATTTTATCAGCATGTGTAGGCTGCAAATGAACAAGTTAAGGTTTATTCCATGCTAGAAAAGAAAAGAAACACAATGTTTTGGCTGTGGAGCGTTCTTTGGCTGTGGAAGTTTAATTGTTTATAAGGCTGCTGGATTAAATCACTT